AACCTGCAAGGAAGTAGCCGTTTTTTACCAGGAGAAAGGGGAAATGTACTTCTTTCTTGCAGGTCTTCCTCTGAGAAACCTTCCCCGCCTACCCCACAGGTAGTTTTGTGGGGAGTTTGCCCACAAAAGTGCATTGAAGCGCAGTGTGTAGAACACTTTTCAGTTGTTCTGCAAGTCTTGTTGCTAAACTAATAGCAATTTGTAAACTAATAAACTAATAGCATTTGTGTTAACAAACCATTACCAACGCTGATCAAATTCCTATTATCTGAATCTCTTAATCCTTGGATGTTACTCTTCACTACATTCAAGTTTTATCATTATGCCCCTTTTCATCCTTAAAGATTTAATTGAAAGAGTCTTCAGCTAATTTCTGTGTAGTTCTTTTTGAAGCAGGCTTCTTACTTTAAGTACTGGCAAGCAAGCTGATTTTTTCCCTGGGAAAATCTCGTTAAGGCTTCAGCATTCCAGTTTGGAAGATGTTTCTGATGTTGGCCCCTTTGCCCGCACTGTGGGGATGGAGCCTGTAGGATCTGAAAGTCAGTGCTGTCCCCTCTCCTTCGTCACCTCAAACTTACCATGGGACATGTAGACCTGAGCCACAGCTGAGCTTGCAGAGGAGAAAGTCTCCTGGCATTGATTCTGGGGGGGTGGAGGCCAGACACAGGCAGTGGCTTTGGCTAGTGAAGCCGTGGCAAAACGGGCTGAGGGTGGGCAACTGCAGCCTTGGGCCGCTTTCATGGGCTAACAGGGAACACCTTGCTGATAATATTTCAGATCTTCTTTAAAGGTTTTGTGGACCTGCTTTGAGCAAACGTTGCAATACAAACCTCTCGTTCTTGAAATAAGCTAAACAATTTTAAATTTTATTTTTTAGTAGAGAAAAATCAGACTTAGGCAGTTGCTTGGCATGAGGTATGTCAACTCATACAATGAAACCTTGGTAACATTTTAAACAAAATTTAAAAGCTTAAACACTGAAAACGCAAGGACACAGAGTGCTACAAGTCGACCTCAGACAGAATTCTCACCAAGCGAACTGTGCTTAGAAACCACTAGGTCCGCAGTTCTGCCGGGGAAGTGCCAGGATGGCATGCTCCTCCGCATGATGCTCCTGAGGGGCCCTTGAGGCAATACCAGCACGTGGTGGTGAAACAGTTGATCTTCCGCTACTTGGGTTCCCACAGACGCCTGGGGAGTGTGTGCGCAGGGAACGTGACTACTCTGCGCTCTTACCATGCATTGTCTCCCAGAAAATCAGCTGCTGGGCTTGTGCTCCTCCTAGCATGCCTCTAATAACATTTTAGCCTTTCAATTTGCTTGTATCGATTCCTTAGCTTTATTTTCTATAAGCAAACAAACAAAATTTCTTGTCTGTCAAAAATAATCCTTCTGATATAAATTATTTTCACAAATCCCTGTATTGTTCAAATTATTATTGGTGTGGCATTCAAATGCAACCAGTTAAAAGCTTGTAGTACCCTGCTTCTCGCTTCCTCAGGTTGTGAAATAACCTGACTCCACCTACTGCGTCTATCATTCTAATGTATTGTTTAAGAAAATAATTGCAATATGCACAAATGCTTCATTCATCACAGTAGGTAGAATTCAGTGCCTGTGGCTATAGACTGCCCCATTTTTTTTATCTGTAAAGAAAGAGGGATTAAGACCTCCATTATAGAACAATCACTGATGCACTGCATCTTACACAAAGAAACAAGAATATTAAATGCTAAGAACATCTACTCCTGTTTATAGGTTTTTCAGGCAATATCTGTAAAATTTTATTGATTTCTATTTCTTTGAGCAACAAAACACTTTTTTTTAATAGAAGCTTCAAGGCTACAAAGTCAAGCATCAGACTGAGAAACAACAGAATTAAGACTGTTTGTGCAACCTTGGTTTGGTCAAGTAGTATCAGGAATTTTATTTTTTTTCCCCACTTTTTTTCCGAGTCTCAGCCTCCCCACTGTTACTCTGACCCAGTGTAGATTTGTAGTGATTGCTTGTCCTACTTGATTTCCCCAGCTCTCAGCAGCTTTGCTCATTTTGTCCCAAACTTCAGCCATGTCTCCTGGATGCTCTCAGCCCTCTCCCAGCTTCAAATCCCAGTTATGTATCTCCTGAGGCAGCTGCCTCCCTCTGCTCTTTTCTCCCTAATGGATGCAGATTTTTGCTCTTAGAATTCAAATCAGGCTGTTCTATTATTATTTATTATTTATTTACTATTATTCTTTCTTGCTATTTTATTATTTCAGCTGCGCTGTGCTGTTAAGCCTCTTGTGCTTGGACAGGGAATAGTGCTGCTCTGTTGTGGTTTTGACTATGAGTCAGGATGAATGCATCAATGCATTGAAGGTCATCATCCAGAAAGATTATTATCTGCATTAATAAGGTTAGTATTAACAACATTGGAAATATTTTTCCAAATTTGACCTTTTTGTGTATTTTTTATAGAACAAATTAAACAGATGTTTAAAACAAGGGTTTACTTCAAACTGGCATTGTAGTGACAGTTAAAAATTAATCCAGTAAGTTTTTGAACTGAGCAATACATGTAATCTGTTCAGGATATATTTTTATCTAAGCAAATCAAAGTTTTCCAGTGAAACATTTTTTCATTAGATTTTGCATTCTTCTGTAAATTTACATGTTGCTGTAAAATTCCTGATCTGTTCTGCTGTTTGCTCCAAAACAATGAACCATGCTGTCCTTGTCCTTGGGTTAGAAGTGGACCCAAGTCTTGTTTGAGAACTTTGAGAGTCAGAGCCTTTATACCACTGGATTTTATACCTCTTCTGTTACTACAGCCTTCAGAATCACCCAGTTCCCTGAATATTATTTTGCGCCTTCTCTTTACTAATGGTGTTTCCCCATCTTGCATTACCATGAGCGTGTATCTTGTGTGTGAGCTTCTTAGCTGGTCCTCTAGGCATTTCATTCATGATTTTGCTCCCATTAATTTTTTTTCACTGACAATTTTAAAATAAACTTTGATAGTGGAATCAGCTTTGTCTAGAGAAGCAGAGGCAACTGTTTCTTTGTGTGTGCTGCTGTTTATCTTTTAAATAGGAATGAACTGAGTTTTCACAGCCATAGTCTATATCCACAGATCGAAAAATTGCATGGGATAATTACCAAGGAGCTTGTGTGGTGGTGTGGAGATTCTTTTTCCATAGTGCTTTTACAAAGTAATGTTGTTACAAGAGAAGATCCTTCAGGAAGTATACAAAGCGTGAAAGAAACATTGAGGAAACATGCGTATTTTCGTATGGAGCACACAGTACCTATGTTCCACTGCTCCAGAGCTAGACAAAGCCTCCAGGACAGTGTTTTGCACGGAATTTCTTGCTATCCTCAGGTTTCTGTTAAATTAAATCTGCTGATGCCATTGATGAGCACTGAGTTAAATACCGATTAGAAGAAGAATTGACAGCAACCTGAACACCCTCCTACTGATTTGTTCAGCACAAAGTGATCAAGTGCATAATATTAATAGACTGTCTCTCTGCATCAACAGCTATAAGAAATTAATCAAATTAAGTAAGGACAAACTGTGATACCATCAGTCAAGTCCACCTCTGTGCAGACAACTCACAGATCACAGGGATTTCACTTGATTTGATGAATAGGTTAATTATTTTTACATAGAACTCTGATAGACTTTTCTGAACCATAGGATGGACGCAGCATAAAAATTGCATTAACAGATAAAAAGTATCATGTTTTTCCCTACCTTTATCTGCCTTTGTCTCAGCTGGCAAATTCTTTGGAGTGAGTTTGTGTCTTGCTCTTAGGCTACCTACGCCTGACAGTTATACTAAGATAGAATATGGTTTTCTTGCAAGGATATGAGTTTTTGATAACTTTTATCTTCTTTCTTTAATAGTATTGATTAAAAAGGTCCTTTGAGTTTCATTGATAATATGATGTTTTAACTTTGGAACGAACTCTACAGACTTTAATTATGCTTACCCATTCCAGAACGCTGCTGTTTATTTTGGGCAAAGTCTCTGTTGGAGAATTTTAAAATAAAAATCAACAAAGGCATGTAGCTTTTACTACTGTACTTAATATTATAGTATCTATTTTATTGATGAACCTGAAGTTATCATTATAAATTGTGTATATTATATAGTCTATGAATGTATTGGTATTAATGGGTTGGCATAGAGTGAAAACTATATTAACATGTGAATTCTGTGAAGTTGGGCCCACTTTTGCTTGGTTCTCCACTGTTTAATAGAATGAATTTTCTTGTCTCAGTTTTGTTTGCTTAGATTTAACTCAAAACCTCGTAGTGTGAATAAAAGTCCTACATTGTTACCAGAATTAGATAAGCCTAGATAGATCTTAATGCTGTTTTGGTGATACACCACACACTTCTGCATGGAAAGCTTCTGTTGCTTTTACATAATCTCTGCTTGCCTCTGTAACTTCTTACTATTTTTATTACTTTTATTATTTTCACCATGAATTTCTGAGAAGTATTTGTGGGAAACAAAGTTTCTTAAGACTTCTTTTTAAAGAACACAGGAGTATTCTGCCTGTACTAGTTTTCACAGCTTTTGCTGTTTCCAAGCCATGACGGTGCCAGGGGACGGTGCTTGGACGTGCCTCCCGCACATCCCCATCCTCTGCACTGCGTGAATTCCAGCACAAATGAAGTGCAAGATTGAAATGACTTGCTCTAGACAGGTGCAAACCAAAATGTTATTACACCTGAGCTCTGTCCAGCCCTTACTTAATCCAGGGAAGACACGCTTTAGCTAGCTGACATCTACCTCATGCTTTCTAGAAATGTCTTGTGTCTCACCATGCTCTTGGTGGGTATTGCGTCACCTGCTGGGCTCCAGCACTCTGACAGTGGTTATGTGATTTCCCTCCTTCCAGGCAAGTAAGAAAATGTAGTGGGACGGAGGCAAGGACAAGAAGCCCCGAGCGAGCGCTGGGACGAGGGCCTCCGGGCGGGACTCCCCTCCTTGCCGCGCAGCCTCACCATGTCCAAGAAGGGCGCCAGCAGCCGAGCTAGGGGGGAGAAGCCGGACGCCTTGGCCGCCTTGCAGGCTGCCAATGAAGAGCTCAGGGCCAAGCTCACTGACATCCAGATAGAGCTCCAGCAAGAAAAGAGTAAGGTGTGCATCTTTTCCTTTCCTACCCCCGTTAATTAAAATAAAGATAGTCTGTTGTTTCTGACTGCTAACCACTCTTTGTGCCACTTGTAGCTGACTTACTTGTACGCAACTTCAACATTAAATCAGCGTACATGTTCCTGGAGCTAACCTTCTGTGGGAAAATGAGGCAATCCCTTTATTGCAGACTTTTAAATTTTCTCCTTGTATTCAAAACATGTATATGGGACAAAAATTCCACATTTCTGCAAGTGAGGGTGCTTCAGCAGTATGGCTCTCAGTGCGAAAGCCGAACAGTGAGGTTGGCCAGTCCCGGGGCTGGCAGGACTCGGCTGTGGGCAGCACGCTTGCTCCTGCCATCCAGGAAGAAATGAAGTTGAAAAATCACATGGCTAAATGCCAGCAAAAGATCTGGAAAAACAAATATCTGCTCAAAACAGATGCTACAATCGTGGTGGTGGGCTGAAAGCTGTCCATGTCTTTTGTTTCTCTCGCTAGAACTTTTTCTAGTAAATACTTACCTATTTACAAGGATGGCTACATTGAAGGTTTTGAATGCAATTTTGTGTTGTTCAGAAATTCTCTTTGCTGATTCTGCTCTTTCACGTTTACACTATTTTCATTTGGATTTTATGCTCAAAATCCTTCAAACTGGCTGCATACAACTTTCAGATGTACAGTAATGAGCTGTACAGCCTCAGCTCTGCCTGCCCCTCTGCTGAAGTTTAAGGAGCCACAGTTTCATGCTGAGTCTTTGAAAGAGCAGCAGGTGATGCAGCTTGAGCCTCAGCTTTAAGAGCTTTCAGCCATAGCCTTCAGACCACTTCTCAGTGAGGGCATGAAAAATTAATTTGCTTTTCCTTAATCCCCCAAATTAGTTTTCACTGATAAACTTCGGGGTTTTTTGATTCCAGAATGCTAGTAGAGACATGCCTTAGCATGCAGGGACAGTATGATAGTCTGCATTTTTCCATTCATTTGCATCGTTATTAGACATTGTAGACTATGAATCTGATTTTTAAGGAAACTTCTATGGGGATGTATGTTAAGGGAGAAGCCGCTGCCCGAGCATTCACACACCAGTCAAGGAGTTGCAGACGCACCACCCGAGACTTTAACTGCTAGGACCAGCGTCCCTCCGCAGCAGGCGGCTCCAGCGAGCCGATGGTGCACCTTTCGACTCCTCACACGCACACACTCAGAGTCGCTCGCTCTTGGGCGCTTCCTCTTCCCTCAGGCTCAACCCGAGGTTTCCCGAAGCAGGATCTCCGACATGACATACGCCAGATGAATTTATTGAGTGGTACAGTGGTGAAGAACAGCTCGAGCTGGATGCCTCTGGAGAGGGATCCTGCACAAAAGAATTTTTGGGCAATTACACCCTTACAATCTAAGTTCCCCTCCCCTCGTGAGGCGGTTTGGTCCAACAGCAACATTTGGGTCTGGGGTCTCCTTGTTCCTCATTGGATCCTTTCACTGTCTCCAGGCAGGCCGTTCTTTTTCTTTTCACGAGGAGGCAACTTCTACGGGTGGATGTGGCTATCTTATCTCTCTAATTTACACCGGTTTGGGGGTCTTCCCTCATGTAACTAAGAGCTCAGTATAAGTTTATCAGCATCTAGGTGACGGTTCACAGCTTGCAGCCTGAGGCTTTTTACTAATGCTATACAATGGATTCTGTTTGAACTAGGAAGTGACTCCTATAACAGTGTATGTATATATTTAAATAGAACATCTATTAATCCTTTCGCTGTGAAGCAGCATTTGCTGTTTTAAGACTGAGGACCCTGTTTTCCTTCCCCCTGTCCTCCCCTGTTCTTTTGATACAACACTTCTCATCATGGCTTCTTTTGAGTTTACAGTATGGTTTTAAATTGAAACATCATTTGACCCTTCTGTGGTCGGATTCAGTTAGTTATTTTTAATGCATAATTCATTGCTGGAAAAGCATCTGATAAAATGCAGTTGCTTGGGGCTTCACAATAGCTTGCATAGGGCTTCTTATGTCTCGCATCTGCATGTGCACACAGCATGGTTTGGTTCTGTGTGCCTGTGTGTGCCAAAATGATGGCTTAGCATCTGGTTTCTCAGGCATTCTTTTGGGGAGTTGTGTGAGAGCTTCTGCAGATATCAAGCTGAAGAATAAAGTAAGGACTCAAACTTACCCCACAAGACACTGGCTAATTCCTAAATGTGCATTATCTTAAATATTAGTCTGTTTCTAGCACCTATTACACACACTTTAGCCTAGTTTCCTTTAGTGTTCGGATATTGGTGGCTCGTTCACTTGGATTTTTTGCTTCTCGCATACATTTATGTTACTTATTTATATTGTGTTAACTCATGCTTTTTAGGGCATGGAATTGGGAAAATTAAAGAGTCCATAAGATTGCAAGGGCTTATTATTTTATTATAAAAATAGAGTATGATGCATAAAATCAGTAACTGGTGTTTAGACATTTATCCTCAATAGCAATAATTTGCAAAATGACAATGATACTTTTTTTTTCTCTTTTTCTAAATATGTAGGTATTTCTATTTATGCTTATTTCCAGTGAAAGAAAACAAATTTCTCAAGAGTTCTTTTTCTTATTTTCACAAATTACTTTTTCCTTAGAAGAATTCTCACAGTCCTCCGTAATGTCACAGTTTTTTCTTTACACCTGCGTGGTTTGGTTCTGCAGTGTTCTCATTTGTGAGGCAGGCTTAGGCATATTCTTAGCAAGGAAACCTTATTGTGTCAACTGAGGAAGAAGAATGCATCTTTACTAAATAGAACTGACCTGAACATTTTTTCCCAATAAACATTTCAGTAATTAGTTACAATGTAGTGAATATCCACTTCTTAATTTTAGCATTTAGATACGGGCACAGTCTGTTCTGATGAACATTATAAGGCAATGCAAACAGACATGCACTCCCTGCCTTTGAATAAACCTGCCCAGAGGAGAGGGCCAGCTATGCAAACACAGCAAATGCTACTGCAAATACATGCTGGGAATACTTTCTAGTGCAATACCTGTTATGCAGCAACCACTTCAACAAAAAGCTGAGGTGGGTCATATTTTCCCCTCAGACATAGGATTCTCAGTTGTACCCCAGAAAATTACTGTTGACCGCCTGCCAGCTCTGCTGGCTCTTCTGGTGTGCACGCAGACGTGTAACCTCCCAAGCAGGGCTGTGTAGTCCCTAGTGCAACAGACAGAATTATAGACAGTAAGCTCTACGTTCGTGCCTAACTCAATGCAGTGGTTCACAGCCACCCAGAGGACAGGTTGTATGTTAAGGGTTTTAGGCATTGCCTCTGTTGGTTTCGATTATGTGGAGCTGCAGTGGCTGTATGAGTGACGAGATGAACGCTCACTAGCGCCTCTGGAGAGAGGATGGATCTGTCAGGGCTGAGACAGAGTTGAGCCTGGAGTACTTCTAGTAGATTTAGTAGATTTAGAATCACTTCTATAACCCCAAGTCCTCCTGAGTGTGTTGCTAGATCAGCTGCGTTACTAAAGATCCCCACAGGTACCTGCCAAACCTCAAGTCTTAATGACAGCTGTGACAGTGCATTGGAAGTATTTGTCTAAAATTCTAAAAACACTTATCCCTGTGAAAATGTTTTACAGGGGTTTGTAATGTGTGTTTTCTTCATGCAAAATGCATCAAGAGAGGAAATTTGTCTTTTGTAAGTCTATAGCATGAAGGCTGTGTGGCAGAGCTCAGTGACCCTAGTTTTACCTGGAATCTCCTTAAAAAAGGGATCTTTAATATGTAATAAAGTATTGGATCATAAAGGATAAACAAAATGCCAAATGTGTAGGTCTGCATGTGATAATGCTAACTCACCAGGCTGGGCTTTCACTCTGAAGCACGGAGATACAACACTAAGATCTAATATTGTAAAGTGATCTGTACCATTTTTAGATAATATAATAATGTGTATTAATAATTTTGTTGATTGAAAATACTGTACTTTTTTGATTTTACTTGTAGGTCAGTAAGTTGGAAAGAGAGAAAAATCAGGAAGTTAAGCAGATCAAAGAGCACGAACAGCATAAAAGTACAGTGGTGGTAACAGAGCTCAAAGTCAAACTTCATGAAGAGAAAATGAAGGAGCTCCAAGCTGTTCGAGAAGCACTTTTGAGACAGCACGAAGCTGAACTACTTAGAGTAATAAAAATTAAAGATAATGAAATCCAGAGACTACAGACCCTTCTCAATGCTGTACGTGATGGGGCTCCTGACAAGGTGAAAACAGTGCTGCTCACGGAGGCGAAGGAGGAGGCCAAGAAGGGGTTTGAAGTTGAGAAAATAAAAATGCAACAAGAAATTTCAGAGCTCAAGGGGGCTAAGAAACAAGTGGAAGAGGCTTTAACTATGGTCATCCAGGCTGACAAAATTAAAGCAGCAGAGATAAGGAGTGTGTATCACCTGCATCAAGAGGAAATCAGCAGAATTAAGAGGGAGTGTGAGAGAGAAATTCGTAGACTGGTATGTGTTGCTATCTGCATCTATGTTTTCACTAACGCTTATGTTATTGATAGTAAGTAAATGAAAGTTCAGTGCTGGACTCAGATGAATGGGTAAGGATGGGCATTCAAACTTGTGGAGGTTGCTTCAAATGTGTTTTACTAGTAGAGATGTCAAAATGTTTTTTAAAAACTGTTAGGACATTTTGTAAGGAACTTTTTAATCTGTTTCAGTGCTATTAATATCGTTCACATTTCAGATATCAGGAAGAGACCTTGGGTTATTAGCTGGTTTGGGGAATTCTATGAAACAGTTATGTTTCTTGGACCATGCCTCTATTTCCCCACCATTTCTTCCTTGCTGATCCACCTTGGTCCTTCGCTTTCCCTGCCTTTGCTAGTTCTGGTAAACATCCTGTAGTGCTCTTTCTTCTGCATCCCGTAGTGAGTCCTATACCATGTAGGCAATGACCCCCTTCACTCTGGAAGGTGTTCAGGAAGGGGTTCCTCTCTGTGACTCACCTTGGTGGCTTTCCCCCAGGACAGGCGCTGGTGCTCCTCCTTTGGTGGCCCCGTGAGCAGCAGCTCACCAGGCTCCCGACCTCAATAGGTTACTGGGGTTCCTTACCCGTCATTGCTCATCTGATCCTCACTGGGTCCTTGTGTGTGCTGATCAGCCCTCAGTCACCTAATCAAACCAGTTTTAGTCTCAAAGGCAATAGCTACATGCTTATGGCTTTGGAGTATTCCTCCAGCGTGTTTGGAAACTTGCTGGAGAGGTTAAAATGGATCATGTTGCTTGGAAAAAGGGAGAACTCCCCACGTGAGGGAACTCTTTCCAAGAGGGAAGTCTTTGCATGAGAGTCTGGCAGTCCACCGCCTCTTTCTGGGTTTCGGGATTATTTCTTCTCCCCTGCCATCTCAGACACTTGCCTTATGATTCTGACAGTCTTGTAAGTGCACAGATGATTTGCGTATCCGTTATCTGTTGCTGCCGCTCCCACAGACCAAGGAGCAAATGTAACACCCATACTCTCCTGATGCATATTTTGGGTTTTGTCTTGGTATTTATTTGAAGTTACTATATGTTTGTGTTTGCCATGCTTCTTTCTAGCATTCAGTGTCTCAGTATAAACTCATCCTTGTCTCTTCTAAGCCATTATCCCTTGACTATTATCCAAATCCTAAAAAAAAAAAATTAAAATTCACAATCAGCTTGCAGGCTGTCCCCACGTTAAAGCATGGCAGCATAGCCATGCTTCAGCAAACACCCTGCAGAACCCACTCACCACGGGGTTGGTACAGCATCGGCTGTGTCCTGATGAACCAAAGCGACTGGCACTGACTGACACACCATGCGCTGCTCCGTTACTCAGTGAAGCATGACGTACCCTTTATTTAGCCACCCATTCTCTCAGACTTTAGGTTGGTATGGTTTTTTTTTCCCTCATGGATTATTTTATTTTTATGAAGAGGATATTAAAATAATTTATAACCAACTGATCTATTGATACTGTTCAAATACCCTGCTGTGTAAGTACTTTCTTCTCTAAACATACATTACTAGATGCATTGATTTAATACATCAGAATGAAAGGATGGCTAATGTACATCCTAAATAAACTTGCTGCGCTACATGAAAAGTCCACATTAATGGCCTCTGATGTAGAAGCTATAAAATGAATATGTTCTTAGTTATAAGGAATAGAGTGATTTGATGTTATGTTTTCTAAATTGCCTTTGAAAATCAAACTTTTTTTTAATTCCTGCTTGAAAGAATCAGGTTATCTAACTGTACTAATTAAACTACATGATGCCTTCATTTTACCAAGCCCTGAGTGCTTCCTGAACAGCTTTAAGTACTCTCAGCTCCATTGACTCGACCATAATTGATTTCAGTGGGAGCTCTTGGCTCCTGGCACCTTGTAAGGGAGGGCCCTGCCGTTTCGGGGGGAAAGGCTGGTGCCATGTTGTATGATAAATGCTCTCCTCTCTATGAAAATGAGGCTATTCTCAAAAAACTTAAACTATTACTGAAAACCAGTGCTTTTTTCCCTTTTAAGATAGGGGCCATAAATAAAATGCGTTCATTGAGCCTTGTTGAGGTTGCAGTGAGATAGAGAGAAACGCAGACTGGCCCAAGGTGAGCGGTTCCATCCGTCCAGCAGAACGATGCTGAAGACACCGGCTTGGGTCCCCGTAGCTCTGCGTGGACCTGTGTGTTAGCTTTGCACCACTGGGGACTGCACCTTCACGTAACGGCTATGGCAGACATCCAGCCCTGAATTGTTAATAGATTCACATCAGGATTTTAAAAGCTCTGTGATTCATGTACAAGGCATTAGCTAGTCATTTTAATCAAGGGGGGAGGTAACCTTCAAACAAATTATAAATTCACCCCTAGAAAAATACTGCTTTTTTTGTTTAGTCAGAATAGAGAAAGACAAGCTGTACTCATTCATGTTTAGCTTTGGAATGATGTGAAGCCCTTTAACATAAAGTAATTTTTTGAAGTTATTTATCTCTGATAGGTACAGATTTTAATTTCCAAGTCAAGTATATCTATGCAGGCTTAGCTTATGGAAAACACTGACATAGTCAAAGGTTGTTTTAAAAAGGTGAGTTAGTACTAATCCATTATTCTCCTTTCAAATTAAAACTAGGTTTTTTTCTTTATTGGACAGACAGGTATGCATTTGTTGATGTCTCACTTCAGACTTTTGGAAAAATGTTAGATGGCTTTTAAAGTAACAGATGTGGTAGGAAGATACAGCATTATGCAAAAAGGAACTGTACAGACATCAAATTTACTTCGAGAAAATTGGAGTTTATTTTGGTCTTCAGCATCATCCTCTTTTGTCAGATTTTGCCAAGGGAGATGCAAGGTATATATGCTCAGGCTTTCGAATTAACCAGCTTTACTATGAACCTTTCCGTTTTGTTGACTTACTCCAACTTTGAATGAAGCTAAATTGTCACATCAAGCCAAACCCAGTGCCAGCAAATGAACTTTGTCCTTGACAGGTTTCTAAGGCTGCATTTCATTTTGCATTTTTCATTTTTTGAAGTACATTCAGAAATGCATTTTCCCTGCAGTTTTGCCCTCTTGCAGAAGAGACCCTAGCAAAGGCACAGCTGCACTGCAGCCTGTCAAACCAGCTGTGCCTGCCTGTGCGCTGGACTCATCTTCAGCAGCAAAACACAACGCAAAATGTAATTGCTGTGAAAAGGAGACTTCCAAATGCACCTGCAAGCTGGCTCCTCCCCAGCTTGCGGTCTCCTGCCAGCACGTGTTTTCAGCAGACCCTGCACACACAGAAAACAGGCTGTTACAGTAGAGGGACAATATTTGCAGGTGGTAATTTTGTAATTTTGCACTAACAGGCATGCAGAGGCTTGCAGATTGTAACCGGTAGCAAGGTGTAATCTCTCTTTAGAATCAGTTCCCGCTTAGTATTTACCAAATAAAAATTCTAGCTATTTATTTTAGTTATTGTTCAGGTGCCAGGGTAACTGTTACTCGTTGATGCCGATGGCTTTGGACTAATCCCATACAGCAGGGCTGAGCGTCTTTCAGTCCTGTGAAGGGCGCAGGAAAGGAAATAACGTGTTTTGCAAAACTGTATGTTCAAATTATTCTGGCCTCGTGGTTTCTGTTTGCACATATGGCTTGTGCTGTTTGTGTCTGTAAAGTCTGAGTGTGACGCTCTCCAGAGAAGTATAACTCACCCAGTTAAGCGATCCCTGGCTCAGAAGCTCACATGAGAGTCCCTTGCAGATGGTAACAAGTAAGTATGGCAACAACCTCCTTTCTAAAGAATTTCTAATTTTAGTAAACTTTTTTTGAATTTTGTGCATTTTTAAACAGCTTAAAATACTACACGAATGTATCTAATTACATTTGTATGGTCTCCCACTAATAACAGCACACCCTCTGTTAGTGAGTGCACGTCCAGGGAAAGCAGCTCTTCAGTCAGGAGGATTCCCTGAGATTAACTGGCCTCAGCTTTTGCTTAATGGAGACTAAAATTTGATGTGGCAAAGAGCATTTAATTTTTACTTAAATGTAGGTTGGTCAGGAAGGAGAAGTGCTAAAGAGCAATGCCCACTGCAGCCTCCCTTCCTCCTGTCTTGTTTATAAGAGGACTAAAACAGAAATCAGAAAAACTGAAGAAGTGAGATTTGTTAGAGACTGGAAAGTGTTTATTTTCAATATAAGATAAACTTTAGTTGATGATGACTACCAAAAGGTTTAATAATCTGCTCAAATACCTCATGTAAGACCATTGTACGTTGAGACTTGCATCGCTTCCTTATGGTAATGCAGTACCCCAGACAAAGAGGAGATAAATCTTTTCGGTATCACTCTGAACTTCTGCGTTTACAGGCACTTCCCTGAGATTTCTCTGTTAGGCAGCGGTAAATTAGCGAAGATGTCTCATTTAAAGGACGGTATCAGATGAAAAGTGTAGGAAGATGACTTTTTAAAAATTAATTTTATTTGTCATTGATTTACTCTTTATCATCTCCTTTTTATTCCCTTATGTTGTGAAAAATTACCATATTTGGTATTATAAAGGTGTCTCATCAGTCATCCTGTACTGAAAGGTAGACAAATTATTCCAAGTGAATAATTCCTTCTTGCAAATGTGGATTTTTTTCACTATTTACAACAGTATTTATTCCAACTGAACCTGGACTACTGAAGGATTTTGTTGTATATTAATAACTATACATTACTCTTACATTTTGGAGGACCAATAAACCTCCTAGTTCTGGGTTATTCCTTTTGTGTCTTACATTTTTCTCTGCCATCCTAAACAAGAAGTCTGCTCCCTTCTGTGCTGTAACCACATTGTTGTTGTGCTACAACACACCTGACGCAGGGCTTGGGACTCCTGTACGTCTGGCAGCGCTTTGAAACTGTTGGCGGTGGGTGTGAGGTTTCTGCTTTCAGCAGCGTAGGTCTGAGACACCACACACTTCATCTGATGGCATTTACCAGTGGCACGGAATAGCTACACTGTCCTGAGCGTGAGAAAAGTGTGATGTATGTTTGAAGATAGAGCAAAAGAGGGGAATGAAAAATAGGACAAGTGTGGGAAAAATCCTTGAATGTTTCTTTATGCACGATTATTTCTCCCATCCAATGTACTTTATTCTTCAAATATAGAATTACATTTAATTCTGCTAGAATTTTTGTTACAAACTGTGCAAGTTATTATTCATTGAAAAATCTATTCTGATTAGTAATTTTTTCAATACATCTTAATATAAATCCGGAAGTGTCAATTTGATATGAGTAGCTTTATATATAACCCTACCAATTCTGTGTACTGCAGTTCACACCTCACACTCCAGAACGAACCAGTGTTCAGAAACAAAAGCCTTTAGTCACCTAGCAAAGGAAATTTTTTGGTTATGTATAGCCTGAGTGGGGCAGCAAATGACAACTTCACCCGCAGCACTTAACCTTTCTATGCTTAACAGCTTAACACTGCATCTCCCTCAGCGTCATTCCAGTGATTTCAGCGGTATTACGGTGATTTGCAGGATGCCAGTAAGTGTCCTAATCCTGCCCAGCACTGTCAGTTGTTTCAGCTGGTGAAGCTGCCGGCGAGGCAGCCGCAGCGCTCAGCTCCAAGAGCCCGTTCCCGGGGAAGCGTCGGGAGCCGGTGGGATTCCGGGGGAGCCGTGCCGTCGGCCCCGCGCCACGGGCCGCTCTGCTAGAGGAGCGGTTTGCCGTGTCGCCAGGTCCCAGGTAGTATGTGACTGTGTGTAACGGCTGCTGTAGCATGTTAGCTGTCTGGAAACGGGCATGTTACATTTACTGGGGTGTTACAAATATTTTCTGTTAGGTT